TTTCCAGAAAGTACCATTGAAGGGAAAGAAAAAGTTCTGAAATACAGTGAGAAAAATAGTTCGTTTTTGAGGATTTTCTACTTCAGTGAGCAACAGGAAGTATCAGTTTCTTCTCACAAAATCTCCAGTCAAATGCTTAATCTCAAAAGACTCCAGCAGTTTAGAGAAACATCCTCAAAGTTGTGTCAGCTTATTTGAACCAAGGATAAATTCATGTACTTGATAGTCCCTCTGTCAATTGTAAAAACCATCTTTGATCCGGGTGTTGTAACAAATAGGGTGTTTGTACAAGGCACAGGAGGGAAAATGGAGAGATTTAGTGTCCAGTGTTGACTCTGTATCTGATTGGAAGGGATACTTAAAGTGTTCTCTGAAAACACATGGAAACCTTATTATATTTTTGTGTTTCTGACTCCAGAAAGAATATACTAATGGCCGACCTTGGAACTCTCTCTGCCCTCCCCAAAACCAGATATTGTAAAGTACATTTAATTGTCTAATGCATGTCTTGGTGAATATTTTTTTTCGGAGGAGAAGTATTACACATATTTTCGTTTTATGGAACAAAGGTTTATAACACTTCAGAACAGAATTCCTAAAAGCAGTTTTCTCAACTTTTCTCTTTCTTGATTGTACATCTAGAGTCAGACTACCGGCCATGTGTGTAGCTCTCAGAAAGTTTTGTGCATGTTTGTGTGTGTGTATGTTTAAACTTTGATATTTTATCATTTCTTCTCTAAGCTTAAGGAAAAAAAATGAGATGAATTTTGGGTTAAACAAACACATGAAGGGTGTTTTATAAGCAAAGTACAATATAGATTGTAATGATTACTGTTGGCTATTGTATTTAGTCACAATGTTAATAGTCAGGAAAGAAGTGGAGCCACATTAGGGTAGCTGATTCACTCCCTACATGACTCTGAGTGTTCTGCACAGGGATAGCATCCCTTCTTCCTACCCAGTCCTATCCTTATTGTGCTGGTTATCTTGATTGACATTAAAGATAGGCAGAGAGGACAGTTAGGGAAAGGATAAGGGTATTATCAAGAGAGGTTAACCATGGAGGAGAGCTGAAATGGTGCTAGCACCTGTGGTCTGGAGAGGAATGGACACCCTTTTCCTTATGTGTTCCTGCCTGAGGTAAGAGGATCAAACTGGGAGCCATCTCAGGGAAGCTGTGCAAGGATTCTATAGCTGGGGACCTGGGAGACAGGTGTCTATTTCTATAATTAATTTTGATGCTCCTACTAGGAACAATAAACATATATTAAACACTCAGGATTTACATTACCACATTTAACGCTTATACCACCACAAAGTAGATACTATAATTCATCCAGTTGAAAAAAATTGAGACTTTGAGAAGACAAGTCACTCTCCTTGTCACAGAGCTAGTATGTGGATTTAGGAAGCAGTGGTCTGACTGCTGGGCAGCTTTACCACCCTCTTCTTTTGCCAGCCTGGAAATCCAGCTGTTCTGAAAGGACACTCCCTTAGGAGACACCTGGGTTTCAAGGCCCACTCTTTGGAAGGCTTTTCTTTGAGAGAGAAATTGCTGTGTCTAGTCACTGGTAGTTTGCAAACTGTTTCTATAAGGTGTTTTCATCTCATTTTTTGTACATGAAACACTCTTCAATCTAATGAGACGGGTTATGACACCAGTTTTCTAAACAAGGACCTGAGGATCGAGAGTCATCTGTCCACCTTCTACTCAGCAAGGCTATCCACCTGGGAGGTAGCAGTGAGGATAGAAAGCAAGGTCCTTTGAACCCAACTCCACTTCTGTTCTACTTGCTGCATTCCTTTTTCTGATTCCTGCCATGAACTAACACATGACTGGGCTTATACACTGTATTTTTCTAAGAATTCAGTCCTCTTTTATAACTTTAAAAATTAAAATTTTTTTTTGCATATGAAAATAAATACAACTGAAGATAAGATCTATGTCTGCCTACCTGTTCTGTATTTACTTTTATCACTCTGTTTAATTATGGAATTATTTATTAGGCAATGGTTTATTTTGATATCCCAGGATTTTTGAACCTTGGCACTATTGGCATTTGGGGCTGGATGGTTGTTTATTGTTGGGGGCTGTGCTGTGCACAGTAGAATGTCGAGCATTATCCCTGTCCACTGTCTACTGAGTGCCAGGAGCAACCTCCATAAATGAGTTGTCACAACCAAAAATGTTTGAACATACTGCCACATGCCCCCAGGGGGAAAATATCACCCCATTGAGAACCATTGGCATATCCTTTTATAGCTTTGTAAAGAATGAACAAACTTAGATTCTTTGTTTTCCTCTTTTGAGGCATTATGAATTTGAGGGTAAACGGAGCTCATCTGGAGTCCCCACCCCAGAGGGTTTCTAGTGGTGACAGTGGGATTGAGCTTACATAAAATCAGTGGAACTGTCACCAATGAGTACCTCTGAGGTGGAAATCACAGTGGGACTCAGAAACCAGGGGCTCCCTGCAAGTTTCCATGGAGGGTTTAATATGGAGGAAGAACCTAATGGGGTTTTAGGAAAAGTCAACTTGTAAAAGCCTTATATGTCATGGAGAAAGCTTCACGTACAGAATCTAAAGGACTCTCATTCATGTATGACCCCTGTTTATCATCATGATGAAACAACGTGATCCGTCTGAAATTCTTCTATCCTGATTGCTACATTATTTAGAATCTATTCACAACTTAGTGTGAATTAATTAATATACTTCTTTTATGTACGTTTCACATTATATTTTTAAATATTTTGAATCTGTGCCTCACAGACAATCTATAAAATCCCCCTAATGGTAGAGAGCATTTCTCTTAAACTTCCAACTATACCTGTGCCGTGCTCTGTGTATCTGCAAAAGAAACGTCGGTGTGATGAGGCCGAGGGTCTTGTGTACCCCCTCTCAGAGTCATCTGCCACACACACATAGCAGGACAAGGTACTGCCCTGCGTCTTTGGTTAGTTCTTTTTGTTTAGGAATTCCGTTTTCTGGCTCCTCAGGGTTAGGTTCATCTATTTAGCTTTAGGGAAGAACATCTCTTTTTGCTCTAAATAGAGCAAAGTAATAAACTCATTGACTCAAGGAAGGGAAATAAATTGGATCAGACACCCTCTCTCTGATTGCTAAAACCTGAGCAACAAGGTGACTAAAGACAGAACTTCAAGTATAGGATGGGGACACTCTTCTTTCATTCCCTCACCACCACCATCTCTCTAGTTTCAAAGTCAGTGACCCAGGCTCTGTGTCTTAGGACTATTGGAACAACAGAAGTTGATTATGATTAGACTGAAGGCTAAAAATAATGGAATCGGAGCATTGTATCGGATTGGCACCCCAAAGCATATGAATCCTTATGACTGCCCCCTTTCACCTGGTGTCTTGAATTTTTCCATCTAATTTTCTTAAAGTGTGATACAACCCAGTGGACATTTGCAAGTTCAGTAGAATGTATTATATTAACCTCTTTTATATTTATCCATGTAAAAACACATAAATCTGGCTCATGTTAATATGAAGAATTTATACAGTTTCTATAAACTTTTCCACACTTCTTACATATAATATCATCTATTCTCTACCACTTTGTGAGATGGTTATTATATGTTGGAAAACTGTTCTTTTCAGCATCTCTTCCCTGGAGCAAGTAAAGATGCAAGCAGGATTTGTAATGATTTGTATGAATCAGTCTTATTATTTGTATTGTTAAATACCCATTTCATTTAGCTACTCAATCTTCATTCAACAAGAAAACCAAGGACTGGCTTGTGAGAGCTTGAGGAATGACCAACATAAGAAGGACTTGGTCCTTTCCCTCAAGTCCAAAAAGGGTGTGAAGTCATGAATGGATAGGCTGCCAGGGATCCAAAAGGAGGGTTGCCTGGCCAGACTAGGGATCATAGAAGACTTCTCAGAAAAGGACACATCTAAGCTCTGTCATGAAGGATGAGTCAACTCATCCAGGTAGAGTCAGAAGAATGCTGTTCTGAGTAAAGAAACCAGTATGTATGACTGATGAGAAGATATGCATCCAGGTTGCAGAACCAGGAGCAGTTCACTAGAACCAGAGTAGGAGGACAAGAGAAGGAAGTGTCTAGGAAGATTAGGACCCAGTTGTAAGCTGCTCACTGTATTAGGATTTTGAATTTTATATTATACATACAACTATTGAAAAAGTTATGAGCAATGTACAAAACGATCAGATTTTTAAGTTAGAATAAGCTCTCTTGAAAGAGCCTTAAGCTGGGGTTGGAAAAGAGTGAGAGTGGCCAGCAGTGCGAAATGGCAGTGGAATCTAAGAATAAACCCCTGAGAAATGGTGGCATCTGCACTACCAGGTGCAAGGAATGCAGAGGAAATGGAAGAGGGACACGTGGCTATTTAGAGTATTAACGAATATCTTAAAAGGAGAACATGTCATCCACTGTGATAGGAGAGAAGGCAAGCAAATCCTCTGCTGGTGTGCTGAGATGGGGAGGAGAAGACAAAGAGAAAAGGAACTTGTCTAAAATAGCCCCCAAGGGAGCAAGCCCTAAGGAGGCACCCAGTGAGCACCGGGGAGAAGTGCAAGTCCTGTGACGCAGCAGCAGCTGAGGGCTCACCCCCAGCCTACAGATGTATAAGTGTGCTTACAAGGATCAGAAACCTCCTCTGGAATTCCTCCCATAGATTACTTGTTTGGTCACTGCCACAGGCAAAATTGACACCTTCAAATAAGACATAGTCCATTCCATATTTCCAAGCCTTCATTTTCGTATCTATAAACTTAAAGAATTGTACCAGTCTATTTGGTGATAGTTGAAATGTGATTTTAAAAAAATCACTTGCATAAGCCTTGGGAAATAATATTGACCTACCTAGTAACCCACAACCACTAGCAACCACCACCACGACACCAGAGTGCACAGTCTAATCATGCAATCCTTGGGGTGCATTTTGAATTCTGAGTTCTATGAGAGGTTGGAAGCCTTGCAATTTGATCATTGTTTCTTCTAATCTCAGGTAACCATGAAGCACATGAGGAGCAAGAAGATGCTAGATTTTGTAGCCGACGTGTTGCTCTCTGGGATCCAAGTGGATGGGGACCTTGTCTGTGAGCTTCCCGTACTCAGAGATGGACAACCCATTTTTCCATGTGTGTTTATAATCTTCAGTAGCATGTATTACATATTTAAATTGCTTTATAGCTTCTTGAATTTACTTCTGACCTATTTATTTGCAGAATATTTTTCCTACTTCTTAAAGAGTTGTTTTACCCACTGAGAAGTGACTTTTTCAGTGTTTCAACATAAGTCAGTGGTGGATCTGGAATTAAGCACATCTCACAATGGTTCTTATGGTCCATCCACAGTCACAGAGGCTTAGTCAATGGAAGATAAGAAATGTCCTGGCTTTGCCTGGGACCAGCTGGTCACCTCCTGCCATCACCTCACTGTTGTTTATTTCCACATTAAACTTTACATCATTGTAAACTTTAAGCATCATATACAATAACATCTTCAGCCTCAATTCTAAAATATGAAGCATAAAATGTCCTCCTATGTCATACATGGAAGAAGAGCCTTTTAAATTATATTTTATTTTTGCTTTTGAAAAACTTGTAAACACTCTGAGCATTTACTTGTTCATGATGTGAAAATACCCGTTTGAAGCTAAAGATAAAATACAAGGGTCAATAATTAATAAATGGATAAATGAATTAAACAGACACTTCTCAAAAGGAGAAATACAAATGGCCAACCAATATATGAAAAAAAAATGCTCAGAATTCTCAGCAATTGGGGAAATACAAATCAAAACTAAACTGAGATTTCATCTCACACCAGTCAGAATGACAGTCATGAGAATACAAGCAATAATAAATGCTGGGGAGGATGTAGAGAAAAAGGAACACTTTCACACTGTTGGTGAGATTGTAAATTAGTACAACCACTATGAAAATCAATATGGAGGTTTCTCAAAAATCTAGACATGGAACCATCATATGACCCATCTATACCAATCCTAGACATTTATTTTAAAGAATTAAAGTCCTCATATTATAGTGATACCTGCATAACCCATGTTCATAGGAGCACAATTTATAATAACCAAACTTTACAACCAGCCTAGGTATCTACCAATAGATGAATGGATAAAGGAAATGTAGTATATATGCACAATAGAGTTTTATTCAGCCATAAAGAAAAATGAAATTGTCATTTGCAGGAAAAATGGATGGAACTTGAGAATATTATGTTAAGTGAAATAAGCCAAACTCAGAAAGTCAAGGTCATATATTTCTGTCAGATGTGAAAGCCAGAACAGGAAAAGGAAAATAAAGTGTGTGTGTGTGGGGGTGATTTCATGAAAATCAAAGGGAGATCAGTAGAAGAGAGGAAATAAACCAGGGGTGGGAGGACAAGAGGGCTGTTGATCAAATTATATTGTTATATTGTTGCATATACTAAGATGTAACCACAAATTCCCCCATTACATACAACTGTAATGCACCAATAAAAAAATGCAGAGGAGAAAAATCTAAGGGCAAAGTCTCTTGATAAATACGAAATGTCCCAATTAGGAGGTTTATCATATAATTTTTTTGTAACAATATCCTGAGAACACATGAATCTGGGTTTTGTTCGTATGAATTCTGAGTTAATAGTTTTCCTCCTGTTTTCTCTTCCTTGCTGCTTGGCCAGTGGTGAGGTACCATGTTGATGTCTACACTGGGCAGTTGAAACAAGACAAAACAGAATCTGAGGTCTCCCTCTGTCTCTATGGGGAGAGGGGAGACTCTGGCCTTCGGCTGCTGCGCAAATCCAACATGCCAGTAAGATTCCAAAGAGGACAGGTAAGTCTGTGTGAAGGGCTCCTCCAGGTTCTTGGCATCCTTTCTGTTGCTGGCCACGTGTGATTTAAAATCTAAAAGGTGTTGGTCACTTTTCAAATTTTAGTTTGGAGACATCTTAACACAAGTTTCCTGACCTGTCTTCCTAAGGTTGCTTGCTGTGTTTTATAAATTGTTCTTGAAAGAAAAATGGGATGTTCTAAAGCTATAATAAATAATGGAACAAAGAAAAAGACATTAAAAGTTAGTGATAGTGAAAGAAAAAGAACAAAACGAGTTGAAAAGATATCAAGGAAACATGCTTTCTCAGAACTGAGAGCTACCAAGCATTATTCTAAAAGGTCAGACCATAGAAGGACGATTATAGGATATTTTATGTATTTTATATTTCATATAGTAACACTATGGACTGTCTTTAAGAAATATTGAATGGAGCCAACTATATTTTATTGACATTCAAAAGCCTTCAATTCCTCATTATTCTCTTTTGTTCTTTTTATACAAACATAATTCTTTCTAAATATTAGACATTTGAGAAATCACAATGGGAAATCTATTAACCTAATTTTTAATGTTACTTGTTGCGTATTGGAAAGAGGATAGTACTTGGAGATTTGAAATTAAGTAGTTATCCAAAGGTTCAGTTTGTATGTATTTTTAAGAAGGAAGATTCCTTACACCAGCTCAAGATTACTGTCTCTCAGACTTTTGTTGTAGTTTTTCAAGTATTGTGAAACATCAAAGATCTTCAAGCTCACCTCTGCCTTTTATTTGTTGTTGTAGATTACACAAAAGCTTTCCCTGAAATGAATAGGAAAGCTAGTTCTGCTTTGAATGAGACAAAAATAAAATTATACCTAATTTTTATCACACCTGAACTAATTTAGAACAGAAACAAAATTCTAGATACTGTGATGTTATTAATATTATTCTAAATGATTAGTGACATTATCCCCTGAAAGACACCTCGAGTTTGGCGTTAGCCCCAGGCTCCTCACCCTCCCACTTGGTGATAAATTGTGCTGGCTCCCACTCCTGGCTGGTGCTAGCTGGCTGGCCAGAATATAGTACTTGGTGGCAGCTCCTAATCATGTGAAGTTGCTAAGATGTTGCAAGTCATCTTCATGATTGGTCTTCAGGGCATTGTGTATAGCATTTCACAGAGTTGGTAGAGTATATTATGGACTGAAATTAAAATGGGTAGGGGGTATAGTGGCCATCAGGGCATAAAGTCTGGATTTAATGTTATCAGTTTTGAAGTTTGGAATCAGAAATAAAAAACTGCTTTTTCTTCCCTGGTTCATTTTCGATTTTACATTTAAATTTTTTTTCCCCTCAATTCATGGAATGTAATGGCGTTGCCAAATGGTTTCAAGAGGACTGTAGTCAAGAAACCATGGTAACAATCTTGGTGTCTTATCATTAGATTTGTGCCATCCCAGCCACAACTCACATCAGAAGCCCCGGATTGGACTGGTTGTTGTCATTTTCTCTACATGATGTCCAGTGATGTAAACAAAGGCAGCCACATGCATCACAGACCCTATTTAATTCTGTCCTCCAACCTGAGGTTGGTTTAAAATGCAAGAAAGATATTGTAGTTTGAGTTTTCCCCAAAGCAAACCAGGAGACACAGGCTTGGATGCAGGTAGTTTATCTGGGAAGTGATCCCTCTGAATCTGTAGGGATCAGATGGTGGCGCATCAGATGGTGGCGCATCTGATGGTGGCGCAGGAAAGGGAGAGAGGCCAACATAGAGACACCAGCGAGCCACCCACCGTGGGGCTTCATGCTTGGGACCATCAGAGGAACCCCAGGCACATTCGTCAGAATGGTCACCATGTGAAGTCCTCAAACACACGAGCAGGAGACCCAGGAGATGGAGCTGGGCAAGTGATCAGTAATCCCAAACTGGCTACCAAAGCAAACAGATGTACCTAGGGATGATACCAGAGGATGCGGGAAGGGACATCATCTGCCTCTGCTACAACAGGTGATGTGTGTCAAAAAATGTCCCCTTGTGAAGGCACACTAGGAATGAGGGATAGTGAAAATCAGGTTATCAAGCCACATCCAGGAAGAGGTACCCCAAATTCTCACCTGGTTTACAGAAACATCACCATTGAACAAGTAATGATTTTTGTCTGGTTCAAACCAGGGCAGATTTCCACCAATAATAACCAACCGACAATTTGAGACCCAGGTAGCATATCTGAAATGACCAAAGTGAAATTTAACTTGGTAACAATGCTGGGGCAACCCATCTCCTGTAGGCAACACAAACAATACTGGATTTGCATTTTTTACCACAAAACAGGGTCACAGTGGCTAACAGTCTACAGATTTAATGAGATTCACCACCTTTTCTCAGATAATTTTAGGACGGTTATTCTCAATAACAATATAGGAGGAATTTATGTATGAAGTTCTTTTTTTTTTATTCCAATCAGCAAAGCATTTTCTTGAGGTCCTGCATTTCTCCGGAAAATGTCAGTGAATTTTTGACATGACACACCAATTCTATTTAGAAAGGAAGATTACAGAATTCTCTTTACAACAAACCCTATTTTTATTTGTAGAGGGAGGTACAGGAGAGGGATTTATTAAAGAATGGAAGAAAAGAGAGTAAAGAAAGAGAAAATTGTCCACCTGCCTCAAAGTAGCTCATCATTCTGGAAAGCAAACGTTCACATTAGGTCACATGTCACCAGCCTGACCACCCAGTGAACCGCTTCTCAGGGGGAGGAGTGGAAGTGAGAAAAAAGCCATAGACTGGAGGCTTTGGTGTTAGGGTTTTTTTTTTTTTTTTTTACACTGGCCGATGCTATAATGGAGAAAATAAAACTGCAAGAGAGAAAAGAAACACAGCCAAAAAATATTTTTAATAGATAGAAAAAGTAATTTGCTTATTTTTCTTCTTTTATTGCCCTTTTTTGATGCTAACAGTAGTGACATTATCTCTTTTAAAGCTGCTTCTGGCAGCCTTGGGCTATAATGATTGCCGGTATTTGTCATTTGCAGGACTCTAGTTATTTCCAAGGGGTTTTCTGTCTCTTCCACCAGATTGATAAATTTCAAGTTGAAGCAGTGTCGCTCGGAAAGCTGCAGAAGGTGCTGTTGCACTGTGAGGCTAGTGACAAATCCCAGTACTGGTACTGTGACAAGGTCATAGTCAGAGAGCCCAGTACAGCATCCGAGTCCATCTTCATCTGTGAGAGGTAATATGGGTCTAGACCTATGGCACTTCAGAGGAGTGTGGGTATGTAGTGTGTGTGTGTGTGTGTGTGTGTGCGCGCGCGCGTGTGTGTGCATGCTTGTTTGTGTGTGTGTGAGGTTGTGGTTTCATGGATTTTTGTCTTTTACTCAGAATTGCACATTTAGAGCACAAATTGCTTAAGTAAATGGTCTTTTGCAAAGCATTGTGAGGAAGTCTTGTAATTACTTAGTGTCAGAATGCTATATGTCATAATAATTTCCAAAGTTTAATATTGGAAATCATTGCATAAATAATGAGAATATCTGTTTAAATGTTGGTTTCTTTACATTACCAAAATTTAGTGCTACAGGGTGGAACATTTTAGACAGAAGAACTTTTAGAACACAGTAGGTAAAAGACAGGGTTTCAGATCTAGGCAAGTTGTGCTTTCCTGAGGCCCCATAAGGGTAAGTCATAGAAGCAACTCGCTTCATTTCTGTTGCCTTTAGGCCTGAGCCACGAATCCTCTTCTGCTCATCAGAAATTCAACATCTCCTTGCTTAAGGAAATGACCTTTATTTTCTCAGTAGAAACCTTGCCCTCCAGATCTCTGCTGAATCCTGCCATCCCAAGAAAACTCCCAGCTTTGGCATTTATGTTTGCTTGATCTCTTGGTCATCAGGGAATAGGACCAGCCTCAGCTTCAAGAAAGGGATTGAGCACGATCAGATTTTTACACTAAAATGCCATCTATTGTGGGCATGGGGGTAAGAAACGGGGGATCCACTTTGAAATTTTGAATATTCAGTGTTGTGAGCTGCCCTACAAACCCATTTTTTAATATTTTTTTGTTGTAGTTGGATACAATATCTTTAATTAATTAATTTATTTTTATGTAGTGCTGAGGATCGGACCCAGGGCCTTGCCTGTGGTAGGTGAGCACTCTACCACTGAACCATAACCCCAGCCCCTGCCCTACACCCATTTTTTTTTCCAAACAGATAATCAATGGGAAATAAGGCCAAAACCAAAACAAAACAAAGACAGGTAAACCAGGCAATTAGAAAATCCAAGGGTATGGATTTGGAGATGCCAAGACAATTGTAACTTTAAGTGTTAAGAAAAAAGTATTAAAAAAAGGTGAGATGATTGAATTAAAAATACTAAAGCCACGCCACTCAAAACGGCAGACACCAGGTGATTGAAGACAACTCTAGATGAACAGCAGCCCTGAGACCCACAGTAGGCCTTCCTCCTTCTTTGTCCCTTTAGTCATTAAGTTCAATCAATTCCTTTTCCAGAGGGCCTGTTAGTTCACCCCTTTTCTCTTATTGCTACTGCCCTGACTGGTGTTCTTGTTTTGTCAATGCTAGATTATCACAGAAAAATCTCCTGACTCTTGAGTCCTTCCTGTCTAGCACTTCCGAGCTAATTATACCACAATACATGTAGCATCATTCTGACTTTACCTGATTTTCTTTGCTTTGAATCTTCTTGAATAGTTTTACCCTAAACTTTTCAAGAAAAAAAAATGTGGGCAAAATATCATCCTTAAAGCTGAAATTACATCCCTCCTCTGTTTAGAAGTCTTCAGCCATCTATCTCTACCAAAAAAGCAAAGCAAAGCAAAACAAAATGAAACAAAACCAACAGCATGATCTTTCCAGTGAAGGTTTTATATCCTCTGACTCCATTTTCTCCCTTCCAATTCATTTTCATAACTGTCCTCTTGCCAGATCTCAGGCAAATGAGACCACCTGTCTCATTTGTTAGTTCTACTTTGCTTCTCTACGTAGAAGCACCCCCACCTTAAACTCCTGTCCTTGTTAGAACCCAGTCTGTCCTTTAAGGTCCCATTCAGATTTGGCATCTAGCATGAGAGGCACAACCAGAAAGTTTCTTTCTCATCTCCCAGTGGTTAATCAGAGCTTAGCATAGCCCAGGCCTTCCCATCTTGCAAGGACATGCAGCACTGAAGAGAACCCTGAGCATCTCTTCCTAGCCTGTTGCCACCTGCAGGGCTTGGGTATCTCCTGGACTGGGTGGCACATGTAGCTTAGTTGCCACATCAAAGAGCTAGAGAGTGCTCCACCAAGGGCTTTCTCCTTATGTTCTGACATACTTGGTCATACCAATTCAGCTGATGTCTCTTAAATATGAAATCTCCTGGGGATCTTTTAGTTGTATTCACACCACCGTGCATGCATGCACGCGCATTCCATGCATCTCTGTAGCCCTACCAACTGCCACTCCACTGCCTCCACCCACCCCTTCATGCATCCTAACTTCTAATTTGTGATGCTAACGTGGCCTCCTCCGGAAGGAGAAGACTTAGTGATAGCTTAATTAGGGCCATTGGATTGTATCTGAAAAGAATTTCTTTACAGAATATATGAAATTAACCACAAAAATATAATAGCTATGGACCATCTTGATGTATCAAATGCTGCTATTTGAGGCCCTATGCATAGTAGGTCCTAAAAAAAGTTGTAGCCAATCAATACTCATTCATACAATACCCCGATGAAGATAATGGTTGCTAAAAATCATGATTTCTTATTCTGTAGCTGTAAGAGATGGGGCAGTCCCTGCTTCCATAATTCTTTTAAAGAGGCACAAGAGTGTGGATCCAGGAGCTGAAAAGGGCACAATAGTTTCCTTTCTATGACAGAAAAATACTCTGAGGCCAATTACAGTGGTTTCTGAGCTCTTGGAGCCTACATGTGAAAGGTCAAAGATAATGTCCTCTAAGGCAGGAGGAGTTGGAAGAGACCTTTGGCTGCACACAGGAACTGCACTGGGCAGACCTGGTAGGGGAGCTTGGATGGGCAAATGTGAGTAATTTTGTTCTGGGGTGTAGGAGGCAGAAATCGACACAATTCAGAAAAGAACAGAACTTTCTCAAAGAGCAAAAAATTTACAGCACACCTGAATTAAGGTGAAAGACCACCGTGTGCTCATTTGTTTTATGAACTATTGAGGGAAAATGCTGAGGTGAAATACACAACTGACCAGTGAGGAGAGTGCTTCTCACTAGCCTTCATATCATCTTTTCCCTCTTCCACTGAACACCCACACCCATATGATTTTATTTTTACTTCTATACCTAAAGATACTATTTTTCTGCTTTTTGTACCTTTAAAATAGATCAGAGTATAACCAGTGAATTTCTGCAACCGAAGCCTTGGCCATTTGAGGTTTGGAGCATGAAAAATTTGTATTCAAATAAGGTCAACGTTCAAGAGGCTTTATAAATTGTTTTGAATATTCTTATTCATTATTCCTTTTGGATGCTGAAACAAATGACCACAAACTTGGTGCTTTCTTTTTTCCCTGCCAGTACCAGAAATTAAACCCATGGATGCTTAACCCACTGAGTCACATCCCCAACCCTTTTTATATTTTATTTTGAGATAAGGTCTCACTAAGTTACTCAGGCTCTCACTGAATTACTGAGACTGGCTTTGAACTAGCAATTCTCCTGCCTCAGCCTCCTGAGCCATTGGGATTACAGATGCATGCTCACTGTATCCTTCAACTTAGTGCTTTTAAATGACAGAAATTTATCCTATCACAGTTCCTGAGAGTGGTAGTTGGAAATCCAGGTGTCAGCAGAGCCCTGCTGTCCCTGAAGGCTCTGGGAAACAGTCCCTCTGTGCCTCCCCTACCTTCTGGTGGCTGTCTGTGGCTTGGGACTGCATCATCCCAGTATCTTCTCTGTAGTCTCCTAGTTGTCTTCCCTTGGTGTATCTGGGCATCTTCTCTTCTTAGAAGGACGCTTGTTTTTGAACTAAGCCCACTTTACTTCAGTGTGACCTCAGCTTAATGTGACATCTGCAAAGACTCTACTTCCAAATAAGGTCCCATTCTGAGGTTCTAGGTTGACATGAATTTGGGAGGGCACTGTTTAATCCATTACACTAGTTGAGTGGCTCTCATAATGTACCATGCACTGCAAAGTTTCTTAACATTATATTAGGGATCGTTAGGTTTTCTGTGTTACCAACTTGTTCTAGTCTTGTCTTTGTGTGTATATGTGTGAGCCTTGACTTAAATGATCAAATTATTAAAAGTAAGTATCTTTTCACACAAACAATGTGATGTATGATATTTATTTGTTAGCCCACTGAACCTAGGAGGGACTAGACACCTAAGCAGTTATAGCCAAACTCTTTAGCCTGAAGACAAGAAGTGCCCTAAGTCTGTCAGTGTCACCCTTCATGACTCCTGATTGGAGATGGCATTGACTGAGCTCACAGGAACAAGTTATTTGAAGTAAAGGCCCTCCCTGGGGCAATTCTAAATATAAGGAGAATTTATAGATGCAGGAATTGAAAAGTTAATGCAAATAACTGATTTTTTTTTTTTTAAAAGAAGCTACCCTGACATCAGGCAGAACAGCATGACCCGCTCTGTCTTTTCAAAAGGAAATCATGGCAGGATAAGTAAAGTGACCTGAGGCATGTTCCCCTAAGGAAGGAGGACAAGATGCTGCACAGTGTTCCTTAGAGTTGATATTTCAACTAACACCTTTAAAATGTTCTTGCCTCATTTTTATTCAGAATTCTGTACTTTTTTTTTTTAAAAAAAAAAAAAGGTGAAAACAATTCCCCTGGGGAAAAGGAAAAAAAAAAAAAAAAGACTTAAGAGGTTTTGACTATGGATATAACCAACTACCAGTCCATCCTGGATTGATGGGAGGTGATGGGCCAACTTCAGGGCCACAGAGTCTTCAGCAACTTACTAATTATTGGGAAAGAATCTGCAGTTTCACTAAAATAACTAGGTCCTGGTGGGTAAACGAGATAGACCTTGGGCAGGGGAGGCCAAGAGGCCTTCTTTGTACCCCTAGGGCTCCACTCTCTGGGAACCATCACTACTGACGCCAGCCTTGACCACAGAGCAGACCTTGGCCATGCCAGGGCCTGGATGACAGGGCTCTTCTCTATTCTTGGCCTTCAGTAAGTTCTCAGCCGGTGCTCTCCTACCTGAGCTTGCCTAACCCTAACCTTCCTGGTTCCT